AGCTATGGCTGCTAACCAAAAGGTCTGCAGTTTAAATCCACCAGGTGCTCCTTGGAAACCCTATGGGGCAGTTCTGCTCTGTCCTACAGGGTCGCTAGGAGTTAGAATCGACTCAACGGAAACGGGCTTGGTTTTTTTGGTATATGTGGTCTTCAGTATTACTTCTATGATGGTAAGCCTTTGCATGATAAAAAAAAAAAAAAGTATTAATTGTTTTCGTTTCAAAAATTCTAACAATCTCTGAATTTTGAACTCCATCAATACTTATGTGCCAATTATTTTAGAAAGAAAAGTAAACACAGATCATTCTGAGTTTACAAGTTTTTCATAAGCAGTAACACTTTAATCTGAGGCAGGTTAAAGATAGAATATATAAGTTTGTAGTAAATTTCTGAAGTGAAAACTTGTATTTAGAAGAATATTTCGTATCATAAAATTGTGTTTTATCAGTATCAGGACTGCTTGGATTTACCATATCTGACTTGAGTAGAAAATTAGTTTTAGTAGGAGCATACTTTTCAAACATTCTGTACATTCTTTCTTAGTCCCTCTTAGAGAAGAACTAAGAGGACTCAGAATGATTGATTTGGTTGAAAATGTCAATCCTGAAAAATCTCTAATTATTTCATAAGCATGAGTAATTTTTGCTACTTCAAGATGGAGGAGAAGCGCGGTGAAGACTTGTTTCCTGGGGTGGAGCCCAGGCCACCCCCTGGTAGATTGTCTCTTGGATGCTTCTCTGACCTCATTACCTTCAGGAATGCTCCATTTCTTTTATTTAACTGACTTCAGCGAAATAATTCTGCTTGTTTCTCTTACTCTCTTCTATGTTGTTTCTGATCAGCATAGACACTGCTCTCTATTCCTTTATAGACAGGAGTTCAGTTTTCCAAATCTTCTGTCTCTGAAGCAAACGTCTTGCCCATTTCATGATGTCTTTAGAATCTTTACTGCTGATGATACTGGACAGTCATTAAAAAAAGAGAGAGAGAGAAATGAGTACTTCCCAAGAGTCACAAAGTTTCGGTTACTATGTGGAAAGAATCTAGAAGTGATTTTTCTGCCTTTACAAAAACCCTTTTTGTTTCAAGAGGCATAGGGTGAGGGGTGTACTGAGTTTCTGCTCTTTGGATTTCCTAGCTGGTAATTATAAAACAGTTTTGCTTTGACCATTTTATATGTTTGACATTAGATTTCTTTCAGAGATAATGTTTCACCCTTACATAAAGTGTGAAAGCCATTAGCAAATGGCTTTCAGTCAAAGATTTATAGACCTTTTTTGTTATTTGTGATAGCTGTGTGTCCTCAGGAGTTACTACCTCCAGTGACCAAAAAAAAAAAAACAAACCTATTGCTGTTGAGTCGATTCCAACAGCTGTTGAGCCATTCTATAGGACAGAGTAGAACTGCCTTATAAGGTTTCCAAGGCTGTAATCTTAGGGAAGCAGACTGCCACATCTTTCTTCTGCCCTGCAGTGACAGTGACTGCAAAGTGTTCATTGCCCTTACTAATGAAATACACTCCTGGCCGAGGAAAACATTCACTTCATTCTCAAATTCCAATCATGTGATTTGGTTCTTTCACCTCGCTAAGCCTCATTTTCCCTGCCTATAAAATGATGATAATACAGGATTTCTATGCTGAGAAATGGAATATTATATGCACAAAGCCTGGCAGAGTCATTGATAATTGTTTGGTTAATAATTCCTTCTCTTTATATAGTCTACCACTGACAGTAGATAATTGCATTTTAATTTTTACTCTTAAAATATACCAATCTTCCTCTGTTTCTATGTGCCACATCCCTTTCTGTCACCATCTTAATACTTTATTTTTAACCAAATTATAAAATATTTTGTTTTCTATTTTTAATTGTTGTAGTATGTTCTTTTTTTTATATTGAAAATTAGTGTGTAAAACAAATAAAAATAAATGTAGAATTTTTTATTTTTCTCTCATGTAACAAAAAAAATCACAACAAAATAAGTTCCATTAAATTTCCACACCTCTCAATTACTGTCTCCTGTATTTCAGTGAAGTTCCTCAGTAGAAAAACTGTGGTGCACACGCAGTGAATAGAGCAGCCGGCACCTAGGTTCCTGCTCATTTGACATTTCTCAAGGGGACCAGTAAGATGTGACTTATTCTCTGGTATTTGGACGTAAATTGAACACCGCACCCCAACCAGTAGAATAGATGATATTCTAGGATGACAGAATAAATGCAATAAGAAGAGGTTCATTTTAGCAACGAAGAATGTGTAGGAAGAAATGGCTTGACATTTTATCATATCTTTGTATATTGATTTGTGCCTCAGAAAAATTCAATATGCTTTCTTGCAGCTATGATTTTCAGTTTGCTTGAGGGTAAATAGGAAAGACTTTCAGAAAGGAACTGGTTCAGAAGCATCTGTTGGAGGCAGTATATATATATATTTTATTATTGTCTGTCAAGCCATCAGAACATTGAGACCATGATTTTTAATACGTAGCCTCAAAGTGCGTATGCCAAAATAAATTGATAGAATGATGCTTGTGAATGAAGAATATTTTTGTGGAAAAAAGCTTCTTACATTTTAAAAGGCTTTAATCTATTGACGTGTTATTTATTGCAAATGAGTCGAAGAGCTGTTTAACTGAAATTGCCATTGTTGATTCAAACTATAGCTATTTTCCTACACTTTTTTTGATAACTGTCACATGTTTATGGTATCTAAACAATCCAAAGTCATTGCCTATGACCTCTCAAATTTCTCTACATATTTTGGAAACATGCCTACTAAGATAAGTAGATTCAAGCTCGTGCTATTTTCCAATTCCATAAATGCCTTTTTCATAGGAGTGTGTGCATGTGTGTGTTTGACTGACCTACATTTCTAGTATATAAGCAAACAAAAGGTCACAGACTTACCCACATCCTCTCAAACCAGTAAGGTTTTCTTTTCCCCTAAACCCTACTAAATATAAAAAATATGTTAGTAATTATAATCAATTGTGTAAGAAACCAAAAACAGCAAACACATTGGCATCAAATTCTGACCCATAGCGACCCTATAGGACAGAGTAGAACTACCCCATAGGGTTTCCAAGGTTGTAATCTTTATGGAAGCAGACTGCTACATCTTTCTCTTGCAGAGTGGCAGTGGGTTCGAACCACCTACCTTTTGGTTGGCAGCCGAGCGCTTTTACCACTGCACCAACATGTTTTAAGACGCTGCCACTGACTCACGGATAATTAGTAGCTTAGAAATTGCAATGAAAAATAGGAATTCTCTCATTTTTGCAAAGTGATAATTAATATTATGTGATCATTTATTTAATCAGGCCTTTAAAATCATACATCAACAGTTATTTATATGGTAATGGTATCAACAAACTCAAACAGGGTGTTAATAAGATACTGATCCAATCAAGTTTTAATAGGAACAAACTTGTAATCAAAAACTATTCTGACAGAAGTGTTTTTAAGAATTCAGTTTTCTTGGTGAAGCATTTTGAAAGTACAGCTTAACTTTTAAGAGATGTTGTATGAGATGTAATAATTTCTATTCAAAACAGATGAGCCAACAGCCTGTGCTAGACCTCTGGGTAAGAACACGTGTGTGTGGTGGGCATGCCACCAAGGATCTTTCCCTGTACTGGAAGCTAAAACTGACAATCAAATACTTCTACCAAGCAACCAGTCTCATGAGGGCTTTAAGAGAGACAGAAACACCTGACTCCAGGATTCAAAATAGAGAGAGTTCATATATAATTGGGCAATAGAGAAATAGAATTCATCAGGAAGGTGACATTTAAAATAAGCCTTAAAGTATTAGTAGAGTCTTGACAGAAGCAGATGAGTGTGATGGCTAAGGAAATATTTCATGCCAGAAATATTCCTTCTAAAAGGTAGATTGACCTATCTCGCAGTAATATTCAAGTGTTCTAGAGAAGGAGGTTTTTTTTTCACGTGAATCTTCTATGGGAAGCCTCTTGTATATAATAAGTTGAAATGCATTGGCTTTAACTGACAAAGATGGGGTATTGGCAATCTTAACTCCCCACCTCCATCTCTTTCACTCTTTGCCACTGCTAACTTCTCTTATCAGCACCTCTGTGAATATCTGCTGTAGTTTGAAGCAGCATATTTTGTATTATAATTGAATTTTATCACCAGAAAGCGTGACAACTATTATCTTAGTAATAGAAACTATAGAAAGTAAAGCTGAAAGGAAACTTCCTTGGCTAGTAGAAATATGTGTCTGATAGAACCTGTAGTTCAGTACTTTTCAAGGAGGAGGGAGGGGACAACTATCCCAAATCATTCCTTCGAGAATCTCCAGAAAGGCAGGGGATTTTTCCATTTAGTTAAACAGGGCTTTAAAGAATGAGCAATAATAATGTAGATACCTATGGAAAGTAGTAGGAAATGGTAGTTTGGGGCCATATTCTAAAGTCCTTGCTTGCCGGATCAGCCCATGTGGTTGTACAGGTTATAACTTGCACAGCCCCAGGGTTATCGTTCACAGCTTGATAGATGCACAGCCCGAGCAGCTGCACATTGCATGATGCTGGAACTAGAAGCAGGGCTTTTGTACTTAATTTGTATAACAATACAGGATTTTTACCTTTTTTTCAAGCCTGAGAACCATATGATCATTGTTAAACTTGAAGGAATTTAATCTTACAGTGCTGTATAAAGAGATCCAAATTCCAGAAACATGGATATAGGATATACCACACATGGGGGTCTGTTAGAGGAATAAACCGGAGCTGCTAATTTATACAGATTGGAGATGGTAAAGCTAAGATGGCTCTACAGCTTTTCCCCGAATGACCATAACAGTTGTACCTGATGAAAAGAAAAAGGTCATGTTTGTGGTGATTGGGACTGGTAAAGGTGGAATTATTTGTCCTTTGAACTTTTCAAATTATTATAAGTCCTTTTTTTTTTTCATGCTAAATGTGCAAATAGCTCTGCTTTCCCCTATAAGGTTGTACTATTCTGTCTTTTTCAGGCTGAAGTCATTGATGTGAATTATGGAACTGCAGATGATTTAAAAAGGATTCAAAAAATGAAAAATGTAACAAATCAGATTGCACTCCTGAAATTAGGAAAATTGCCGCTACTGTATAAGGTTGGTGAAATAGCTGTGGTTCTTTAGTGGGGAAATTGTTTGTTTGTTGGAGTTATATGCCTTTGTGAGTGTGGAGTGTGTGTGTGTGTGTGTGTGTGTGTGTGTGCAGAGTGAGAGACAAAGAGGCAAGGACTGTCACAGAAAGATGACTTTCAAAAAGTAGAATTTTCACTTAAGTTCTTTAAAAGGCAGGAATTGGTGTCCTTATTCTATAAGACAGGACATACCTTAAGCCAGGTATTGGTGAGTTTGTGGGACCTTGATAAAATTGGCATACTCTTCCTAGTAGTACCTATCTGGAATGCTAAAAATGAGAATCACAGTATCCTCCCCTTGTGACATATGTGAAACTTCTATTATCAAAACTGCCTAATTACCATGTGCTTTATGTTAGACTAGTATCTAGCTGATTTACACTTCTTAGTGATTGATTTTGTCAACTGTGTAACTTCACAGTTACTGACTGTGCTTGGGAATTTAATTAAAATATAATGTGCTAAGGAGAAGCAGAATTTTGATTTATTTCATTTAAATAGAAGTTTATTAACACTCATCCACTAGTTGCATTTACATAATTAAAGCATCTCAATCTGAGAGTCTGATAATGAGCTACTGCAATAGACAGCCACTACTGCTCATTCTGACTTCATTTTCTTTTTCTATTTAAAAAAATGGTCAGTGTGAGTATGTCACTGGAACTCCCTGTTCCTGAAGATATATTGGATTTCTCCTCATCTAGCTCTAAAGGAACTTTGCAAATTCCCAGGTCCAAAAATTTTTT